TCACGCCTGGTGGCTCAGCCTCGGTGCCCTGGTCAGTGAGAACAGACGAGTGGGGAGCAGGCCTGGGGGAACGGATGTCCCCGTCGTCACGGATGTGGGAAAGAAGAGCAAGCTCAGAATGTGGGGTGAATGTGTGTAGGGGTGACCCCCAGGAGTGTGCCCAGTGTCTTCAGTCCCATGTCGGGGTGACCCCTGGGCTGTACCCAGCCTCTCAGTCCCATGGTCCTGTCCTGCCTTCGAGCACAGGGGTGGGCAGGGCCGCGCTGTCCGGCTCGTTCTCAGGGAGGTGCCCGTGGGAGGGAGGGGTCCGGCTGGCTGCGCACTCACAATGTCAGAAGTTGTGGGACGCAGAGTCTCCGCAATGTCTCATTCATAATGTCCCGTGTCCAATAAATAAACCGCCAAGTGCAGGAAACGGGGGAGTGAGTCACGCTGGGGAACAGATGGGCGATAGGGCCGGCGTAGCGGGCTCAGAGGTGCCGGCGGCGGCCGCGTTCATCAGCGCCGTGCAGAGAAACAACCCACAGGACCCGTGGAGGTAGATGAGAGGGCGTTTACCACGGGCGTTGGCTCGTGCCATTCTGGAGGCCAGAGAGTCCCAGCGGGGGTGGCTGACTGCAGGCCAGAGACCAGGGCAGCTGCTGCTGTGGTCCATCAGGGGCCAGCGACGTGTCCATCCCGGGGCCCAGGCCTGAGGACTGAGGGGGTGGGGGCAGTTGTGTAGTCGCCGGCTGCAGGGACATCAGGCTGCCCACACTACTCTACCACGACTGAAAGTCAGACCTCCTCAGATATGTCACTTGTAACCTTTAAAACAACTCCATTTGCATGGGTGTAAGCTGAGGCTCAGAGCGGGAAAATAGCGCACGCGTGCACAGCCGGACCCTCCCTCCCGCGAGCGGGAGTCCCGGCGTCGGAGGGCAGGAGAAGCGCGTCTGCCCCTCCTCTACCTCCCTCTTCTACCCAGGCTCCCCGTGGGATGACGCCGCCCTCGGTGGCGAGGGTCGAGCTTGTTTGCCTGGTCTCCGATTCAAATGCCAACCTGTCCGGAAACACCCTCACAGACACACACAGAAATACCGTTTTCCCAGCTGTCTGGGCAGCCTTGGCTCAGTCAAATTCACCACCAGGCAGCTTTTATAAATACGGTTGAGGACTCAGAGGACGGCGTGTGACGCATGGACGCACAGCTGGGAGCCTCGGCAGAGAGACACCGTTCAGACGGGGCAGGTGGAAATTGTAAAACCGAAAAGCAGAATTTCCAGAATGAGCCGTCACTGGAGTCGCTCGATGAAAGCTTGCGGACAGCAGAGGGAAGAGGCGTTGGACTGGAAGACAGTCCGCTGGAAGTCACGCGCCTGAGCGGAAAGGAGATTGGGGGAGGGGCGGCGTCCGGCAGGGCCGACAGGAGCGGTTTGGGTCCCAAACCCGCAGAGTCGGGAGGAGTGAAGAAGGCAGGAAAAGCGCTGGGGAAAGCCCTGCACTTCCTGAACCCCAAACCTCTGTGATGATACGACAGCACTTTGCCGAGAGACGTTAGCGAACACTTAAATAACCGAACGCGTAGGCTGTGCTTGGGGATTGGAAGATGATACGAAGATGTCAGTTCTCCCCACATTAAACCCTGGATTCCAGCAGTTTCTGATCCCGGCAGACTTTTTTTTTTTTTTTTTTGAGAAACTGACAAGGTGATTCTAAAGTTTGTATGAAAATGCAAACGATCTCAGAGTAGCCAAAAGTCGTGTAAAAGAGCGAAGCCGGCGGATTTGCGCTACCTGACTGCAGGGCTTTCTGTAAAACCAGTGAAGACGCAGGGCCGTCGGCACAGGGAGGGACGGCCGGTCGGCGGGTCGGAACGACGTTCCACGGCAGACGCACACCGTGGGTAGGTTAGAGTCCCTGGAGTTAAAAACGAGGCCTGTCAAGGAACCGCTAAGAAAACGAGTTGCCGACCAGACGGGGTGGAAATCGTAAAGCACATCCGACTCGGATCCAGATGACGTAAGAGCTCCTGGATCGAAGAGGACAGAAGACAGTGCGTGTTCAGAGACGGACGGCAGCCTTGAGCGGTGAGTACGCGGAAGACTCCTCGGTGGCGTCAGTCATGAGGGAAGTGCAGAGTGAGACCACGGCGCTGTCTCGCCGCATGCCACTCAGCGTCTGAGACCGCGGAGACGGCGGCCGCGGAGCAGCTGCAGCTTGCGCTCGCTGCCGGGGAGGGGTGCTCCACCGCTTCGGAGGACATTCGGCTGTTGCTCGGGAAGTTTAACATATGGCTGCCCTTTGACCCGGCAACTCCCGTCCTGGTGAAATCTCATTCCCAAAAGAAATGAAAGTGTGTGTCCCCCCGACACACACACAAGACTTCAGTACTCACGTGGCAGATTTTATTCGCAATGACCCGAACTCGGAAGCAGCCCAGACGTCCGTCAGACAGCAGAATGGATGACACATTGTTACTGTGCCGCGGATTAGTACTCAGCAGTAAGCGCGACCACCGGGCGGTGCGGCGGAAAAGGAGCCGGACACAAAGGCGGCGCGATGCACGGCGCGTCGACGCTCCCCGTAGACAGGACTGACCTCTGGTGGGGAGACGTCGGGTGGCGACTGCGGAAGGGGGGAGCTTTTAGGGGAGATGAGGCGAGATTGTCTCGCGTGTGGCGTAGGGTGTGATCTACACAGGCGTGTCCATTTGTCCACGCCTTGCAGCTGCGGGCGCATTTTGGCCGTTGGAAACCTCGGCAGAGCTGTGGTGGAGAACCCGCACACGGCCCGTCTCCCGTTGACACACAGCGGGTGTTCTGTACGTGCAGGGCCCCACCTGGACCCGCAGAGCCAGTCTGACTTACACACGGGGCTGAGGAAGGGGCGTGGGGGAGGAACCGTGCCCCCCCAGCACCCTGTCTAGGTCCACACGGCTTCGAAGCCTCCTTCAAGCCTCATCTGTCCGGGAAGCTCCTGACCGCTTGGGCCGTCACTGCCCTCCCCTCAAACACCACCGTGCTCCTGTGGCCTCCTGGTGGGGCTGGAGCCCCCCAGACCGACGGATCCATCCTGGTTCACCCATCCCCCCAGGCCTGCCGTCAGAGCTGCGCCCACCGTGAGCGTGTAGCCGGTGAGCACATGACCAGGCACAGGAGGGAGGCTGGGAGCGAGGGGGCGTCCCTGTCGGCTGCCCCGCCGTCCAGCAATGAGCCTGGGGGCGCTTGGCCATCTCGGGCACCAGCTGTGGGTGATTCGTGGCGGAGGCTGCACAGAGATCTTTGTTGAAAGGACTCCCAGCGGGACTGGGGGGACGGTCCCGGACCCAGGGTGTCCCCACAATGACTGTCTGCCATCCCACACTGGGCGACCTCAGGATCCCCTATCCTGGCCCAACTTGTAGCCATTTTTATCCATTTCACTGGCTTTTAGAATATTTAACAGCCAACTCTCCACCCCTGCCCCTGCCCTGCTTCCGTGCACCTGCACTGCACGAAGCCGCTGTCTGTCCCCAGAGCGTGGAGGCCTCGCCCTACCTCTCAGTTGTCCGGCTCAGCAGCCCGGAAGCTCCCGATCTCGCCTCCGTTCCGCAGTGTCAGAGTTCCCGACAGGCTTTGCCGCCAGCCTCGCTCTGCTGCGCAACAGAAGTCCGGGGGGCTGCGCCTGCTGAAAGAGCCCCCACAGCTGCTCGCCTAGAACCTGCTAACTTCGGGCAGAGCGGGGGGCAGTCCTCGGGGACAGCATGTGGGGAGGCTGAGGGTCCCACAGGGAAGGTGTTAGGGCTTTGTGGAGACCCCTCTGGCTGCGTGCACCGTCCTTGAACACAGACACACCGGCCCCCTCTGATCCCCCAGCCTGAGAAAGCGGGAGGGGGTGGTCAAGAGCGGGTGCCGGTCTCACCCTGCCCTGGCCTCCCTCCCTCCGTGCCCCTGGGGGGTGGCGGTGGGGCTCCATAGCCTTTACGTGCCTTCTGGAAGTGAGATTTGCCGGGCCCGCCTTGAGCCCAGGCTGTGAGGTGCGTCCCCGCACAGAGCTGAGGGCCCGCAGGGCCGGCTTCTGGGCACAGCCTCCCCTGGACACGCCGGACGGCAGAGCTGAAGACCTCGGCCGGCCTGGGCCTGGGGTGCTCCTGTCCCTGAGACCCCAGGTGCAGTGACCCCCCCAAGCGGGGCCTGTGGGAGTGGGTGGGTGAATGGATTGGCTCGTTTGCCGACTCCGTGGAAACTTCTCCGAGCGCCTACCCGTGTCAGGGGTGGAGGTTCAGAAGGGACGAAGTTGATTTCATCCAGGGGAGAGGTAGGTCAACAGCCACTTTCAGAATCACTGGGATCGCAGCCGATGACCCGCACGGCAGCGAGCCAGGAGGCCTGGAGCACAGATGAGGTGGGACGTCCTGGAGACCTCCTGGACAAGGTGTCCCCTGAACTAAGTCCTGCAGGCAAAGGGCAGCTCGTTGGAGTAGAATCAAGCCACAGTCATGAGCCGAAACAAAGCTTTTCTGCACTGCCGATGAGGCGGTGATTTCCTGGCGCTGGTTTGGGAAGGTCCGACTCAAGCTCCGCGTCCCTCCCTGCGTGCCCGTGACCCTTGCACCTTGGCTGCGAGGACTGGGAGACCCTGGGCTGGGCTGAGAGCGCTCAGGGCTCCAGGCCACAGGCGCGGGCCGGGGAAGGTGGGTTCCTCCCGCAGGCCGGAGCTGGGCGCTGCCGTAGCCTTGCAGTGGGAAGATCTGGAGAAGGCAGGGTCCCGCCCCGGGCGTCTGGCCTGTGTCCCAGCCTTGACCCAAGGGCTGGAGACGTTGGACTCTTCCGTGGCGGGTCCTGCAGAAACTTGTCGCGTAGGCAGCGGGCAGAGTAAGATGACGTTCCCTACGCCGGTTCGGACTCTGAACCCGCAGGCATTGGCATCCCCGTTCTGTAGACTGAGGCTGGAGCAGGGACCGCACCTTGGCCTCGGCCATCTGTGTCCCTGGTGGGCTCGCCCTGCGCCTCCCTGCTAACCAGCCTCCTCCTGTGCAGCGAGCATGACCTGGGGGAGGACATCTACGACTGCGTCCCGTGTGAGGACGGAGGGGACGACATCTACGAGGACATCATCAAGGTGGAGGTGCAGCAGCCCATGGTAAGCGGTAAGCCCCCCGCCCCCCCACCGCTCGCCTGCAGGGCACCTGCCTTGCTTAGCAGAACTGTGGGGGCGTCTGGAGGGCGGAGCATCCTGGGAACACCGCACCCCCACCCCGTGGAGGTGTCCTGAGGTGCCTCAGGTGTGCTGTCGTGGCGCTCTTCGGCCTTCCTGCCCAGGGAGCCCTGGGGCGGTGACTCCGAGCTGGGTGTGCCCCAGCGTACATCATCTCCTCTGCGGAGAGCGAGGGGCGGTGCTGGCACAGTCAGCGGGCCGTGTGCCTTACGCTGCAGAGGTGTTTGCCCCACGCAGGCGCTGGCTGTAACCTCTCCTGCCAGTGTGTTGCCAGCAGCTGCTGTGGGGGGGTGCAGGGTCCAGAGGGCGGGGGTGGGGTAGGCCGTGGTGCCCTCGGACCCCCAGGCTCCCGAGAGGCGGGCAAGATGCCACTGGCCAACCGTGGGCCTTTCGATGCCCTTTGCCTTCCCTGGAGAAACGGGAAATCTCTCGAAAAGCAAATCTCAGTGTTTCCTTCCGTGCCGGAATAACCAGCCGGTGGTGGGGGAACAAAAAGCTGGGAAACAGATAAGTCCCTAGAGGTCTTCCAGGGACACCCCTGCCCCCCACCAAGCCCGGCCGCATCCACTGGCGCGCACGGGGAGTGCCAAGGAGGTGCGGCAGTGGGTCCCCAGCACCGGGCCCTGCTGCCAAGCAGGTTTCCCACTTTGCCCTGAAGGGCCTGGTGGTGGCTTCTGTCGCCACCGTAGCCAGGGTCTGGCTCCACAGAGGATGGGCCCTTTTGGGGAGCGGAGGGGCGGCTCTGCTCCTGAGCCTTCCGGAAAGTCTGGTAGCGGGGCAGGAAGGCCGAGCCACGGTCCCTGCTGCTGGAGGACCCCGTCACTCCCCAGCGCGGGCCCGAAAGTTCCTGCGAAAGCCCGGAGAGCCTTCTGGGTTTGGCCGTGAGCTCTGAGCGGGCCCCTCGCCTCCAAGTCCCCTGAAGGCTGGGATCCTGGGGTGCACGTGGGCGCCGTGCCTGGGGGGCTGCTCGGAAGGTGCCCGCCCCCAGGCCACGCAGGCTTTCTCTGTGGGGACCCCTCTAGCCTGGCCGGAGACCACAGGGCAGGCAGTCCTGGAGCCTGCTGCTGTCCCTGGTTCTGAAGCGCACGGGAGGGGACACGGGGCTGTTTGCAGAGCCTGCCGGTGGGGAAGCCACGCTCCTGTGTCCTGGGGATGGGCTGGCGTCCTGCCTGCCTCGCCCGGCGCAGTGTCCTAACGCCCAGCGCCGGTCCTAACGCCCAGTGCGGTGCTGGAGCTCTCAAGCCGTCCAGTCGATTGGGGGCTGGGGGAACTCTTGCTTGCTGCCAGGGACCTCTGAGATAAAATAGCTGGTTTTATCTCTTCCCGTGTCATGTCTGGAACTACCTGAACGGTTTAAGTGCAAGGTCATGACATGGTGACTTCCTCAAAGACAAAGCCAGAGGACGGTAGGTGCCACTTGCAGAGCCCAGACGTGGGGGAGGTGCTGTGGGACCCTGGTCCCCGCGCCGTCTCCTCTCCACCCAGCCCGGCCCACAGAGGGGCCGCGCCCTGACTTCTGGGCTGTTGGCTAACTGTGGGGTGGGCGTCCTGGACATCCCCAGCCACAGCTTGAGAGGACAGAGTGGCCCCCGCTAACCAGTGCTGTCTCTCGTTTATTTCCCATGCTCTCAGATTAGGTACATGCAGGTAAGTGGCCCGTAAGGGGGGACAGGGGACGTTCTGCCAGCACCATCTTCTCGACCTTTAGGGGAGGTCTCAGACCTCTTTGAGAAGACTCGGGACCCTGTCTCCAGGGAGACGCCATCAGGCACACATGGTTTTGGGGGTATCGTGTACCCCAACGCTCCCCATGAGGCCCCTTGCTGGGCAGGGCCTGGGCTTGGGAAGGAGCCTCGGGGGCTCTGCTTGGCCTCATCTTGCACGTTGCCCTGGAGAGCTGGGCCTGGCGGACTCAAAGGGGACCTTGGGCACTGCTTGGAGGATGGTGACAGTCTCAGGGCCGACGTAAGTGCAGTGGCAGGTCACAGTTCCCAGCACCGTTTGCCCAGAGCCTCTGGCAGAGATGGCTCACTCAGTGCAGAGGAACCCAAGGAAGCTGTTGGGAAAACCCGCCCCTGCCCCCGTGCCCCACCTGCCGGCTCCCCCTGCCCGGCAGCCAGGCTGTGTCCTCCTGGAGGCGGGACAGGTCCTGCTCTGGAGGTGTGACCCCAGTGACCCTGTCATCTCAGGCGCCGTGGGTGGAGAACAGTGGACGCGTGGTGACCAGGGGCAACCTGGTCTGCGGGATGATTGGCGCTGGGATGCCTGCATGGTGGTGGGCGTGGCCCGTGGGGAGCACAGTGGCACCGCCCACCCCATAGCGAGGACCTGTGCGCGCTGGAGAGGGCAGTTTCTGAGGCCCTCACCTCAGTGTGGTGAAGAATGGAGACTCATATCAGAGGAACAGGAACCTAGGGTTCTAGAAGCCTCCAGGCCTTCCTTGGCACTGTCCCAACCTCACGTCCCCACCCCCCCGTGCCTCAGTTTCCCCATCGGCAAAATGGATGGGAGGCCCCAGGCCGCCTGTCTCCCTTCTTGCCTCACCGTTTTACCCCCAGAGATCTCGTGGCCAAACCCCAGAGGCGTCTTCTTGTCACGTGGGGCGGGTGGCTGGGCCTTGCGGTGTGGGCGGCTGGCAGCCAGGCCCACGGGGGTCCTGGCACGTGTCTCCTGTCCCTCCTCCAGAAGATGGGCATGACCGAGGATGACAAGAGGAGCTGCTGCTTGCTGGAGATACAGGAGACCGAGGCCAAGTACTACCGGACGCTGGAGGACATCGAGAAGGTGAGCGTGGGCCACCGGATGGTGGCCACGGCTGCCTGATGTCATGGCGGGGCCTCAGGTCTCCTGCAATGCAGTCGTCAGGCCGAGACTTGGGCAGCTGTGACCAGATGGCCAGTGGCCCTCTCTGCCCTACTGTCAGGCACCTTCCGCGCAGAGGAGGCGGCCGTCCCAGTCCCCACAGCTCTGAGCCGTGTGTGCGTGCTCGCCGACGTGTGCCTGCCACTGAGGACCATGTCTGACCTCTTTGCTCTGCGTCCCTCTGTGACGTGGGACCGGCAGCCGCCCCAGGCAGCGGGAGTATCCTGTGTGGAACGTGGTCGGGCCGATGGCCTGAGCGGCAGACTCGGAGCTCCGGGGACGGCTGCTCTGCCCTCGGCCTCTGAAGTCCTCTCCCTCTGCCTGCCGAGCCCCTGGGGACACAGGTGGCCTTCACCTGCCCCACCCACTCCGGCCCCTGTCCCATAGGAGGCCCGGCTCTGGGGCTTCGCCCTGTGACTTATATGTCCTCATTGCCAACTGCCCATGCTTACTGGGGTGAGAAAAACAACACTGTTTTCAAGATAGAATCTTACTGGCTATGGAGTCCAGGGTGGCTGTGGGGACACCTAAGTGAGTC